TCAAATTCCAGCAAAACAGGATGTCTGGTTAGCTTGGTGCCTGGCAGGTGCCCTGGGCATGGATGTGAGCCCAGGGCCAGTCTTCCTCAGCAAATTTCACAGGTCCTGTTTCCAAGAATCATTAATAATGAACAAGAATTTGGGAGTCCATTGGAGTGAAGTCCTCATTCTAGAAAACTCAAAACACTTTATGTAACTGAAGGAAAGGACATCAGCAGGAAGAAAAGAGACCAGTGAGGAAGAAGAGGGCAAAAAAAACCCCACAAAAGTGTTAAACAGCCTTAGGATGCATCCTTATTTTAAACTGTGATGCCAAAGAAAAGAAGTTTCCAACAGGATGTTCTCTTCTGTGAAGTCAGTGGTTTCCATAAATCAGAATTTTTGCAAGAGAGGGAAGGATGAGGCTAGCTTCAGTGCCAACAACAAATTCCTTAGATCTAGTTATCTGCCCCTGAAATAACTATTTTATTTTTTTTGGTGAGGAAGATTAGCCCTAAGCTAACATCTGTGCCCATCTTCCTCTATTTTATATGTGGGACGCCTGTCACAGCATGGCTTGATAAGTGGTGCATAGGTCTGTGCCCGTGCCTGCAAACCCCAGGCCACTGAAGTGGAGTGCGAGAACTCAACCACTAAACTACTGGGCCTGCCCGTGAAATGATTGTTTCTTAAGATGCACACTGAAAACATTTTTATATGTAAGCCCTGCCTTCTTCATTTCAGGAGCTGGCCCAGAAAGGCACTTTAGCACAGGAAGTGAACAGTTATGCAACACAATACATTTTAAAAATTGGGAAAAACACTCATTATCCCATCCAAGCATGACAGTGCACCTTGTGTTATTGTTTTGTTGTTTCTCAAATGGAGGTGTACCCAAGTGTTCTTGGGCTCTGAAGCTTTATTACACCTAGTAATTTGTTTCGATTTTTTACAATAACTTGCAAAATATTTTAACAGAAACACAAAATTTAACTTTTGTATTGATAATTCACAACTAAAGGGCATTTTCATAGAAAAGACTGTCATTTTCTAAGGTGATGTTTTTCACATTGGAGTCTACTGATCGCCAGAAGATCCAGAGCTTTATTCTTAGCGTCTGTGCTCTTTTTTTTTCTCTTTAGAAGAGTTCCTTTCATCTCTCAGGTTTGCGAAACATTGCTTAAATTTAAGCCTCCTTTGGGCAGAAGAATATTTAGCTTCAAGCTGTGGCTTTGAAGGGCTGTTTAGGAAATCATTAGCACGAGGTCACACTAGGCAAGGACACAGCTCCTCTTCTTCTTGTCCAGGGAACTGCACCTGCTGCAGATGTCATGTCTGGGAACACCTGGGTCCCACATTCCACATCCCCTTGGAATCACTCCATACTCTCTTGGGGAGGGAAGGAAATGCTACAATTAGAGAAATCCTGAGCTAGCTTTTATTGCCTCTGAAGAGAGCAGCTCAGGGCCTTCTGCCCTCCCTGGAAGGGCTCCTTGCTCACATGAAGGGAGGGTAGCAGCCATCCTATCGTGTAGCCATGGACTTGGCCAGTCCCATTGTACCTTGGATGGTCAGTGTCAGTGTCCGCAGGAAATAACGGAGTAGACCCTCTTGTCTCCCCTTGCCTTCAGCCCTGCAGGCTGGAGGACGGTATTTAAACTTCCTACTAGCTCTCACAGATCTCACCATCTCAGGAGAGAGGGAAAGGGCCCAGTGGAACAGTAAAATGAAAAGTGCAGAGGGGGGATGCTTGTGAAACTTGTGTGTTTGCAAGTAACATTTGTTTCTCCTTTTTTTTTTTTTTTAAAGATTTTATTTATTCATTTTTTTCCCCCCAAAGCCCCAGTAGACAGTTGTATGTCATAGGTTCACATCCTTCTAGTTGCTGTACGTGGGACTCGGCCTCGCGTTGGACGGAGAAGTGGTGCCTTGGGGCGTGCCTGGGATCCGAACCCGGGCCGCCAGCATCAGAGCGCGCGCACTTAACCGCTAAGCCATGGAGCCGGCCCTTGTTTCTCCTTAAAGCTGAAGTTTTTGGCTTTAGACAAGAAGGAGCGGGGGAAGGACAGGACATATTCTGCCTGGGAATGTGGGTAGGTGTGGCCTGTGTGCTCATCCTAATTTTTGGCACCAAGCCTGGGATAGATCCATTTGTGTCCTGTCACAGCTGAAGTCCTTGGAAGGTAGTGAAACAGTCTGTAGGTGGCAATGGTAATAAATACTTGCCCTGCCTCCCTTTTGTGAGAAGCAAATGAAATTCAGCATGAGAAAGTACTTGGTAAACTACCAAGGGCTATATGACTGGGAGTTATTGATCCCAATGATATGAAGGTGCATGGTTTAAAGAAAAGAGCTCTGGTTTGGTTAAGAACAAGGCTTGGCTCTTAGTCACCTACTCACTAGCTGTGTGACCTTGCACAAGTCTTGTCATCTTTCAGAGCTTATTTTGTTGTTATTTGGGGGGAAGTGGGGGTTCATTTGTAAAAATGGAAGTAGTCTTTGCCATACCTACCTCACAGAGTTGTGATTGTATCAAAATAGAAAACATGAGACAGTTCTTTGTGAACTGTAAAGAGACTGTTCTTAGCACAGCTAAAATGTTCAGATCTCTCCATAGCCACCAACTACCTGAAATTGGTCCCATACATATCTCAAGTGTGATAAGTCCAAATAACAATAACTCATTATCTTTCTGCAAAACCTGCTCCTTTCCTGCGTTTTTTAGCTTGGCATCACCAGTAGTTGGGGGAACATAAAAAAGTATATTTGTTGTCCCCCAACAACTATCAGATCAAGGTGATTCAGGAACCACAACTGGGAAGATTTCACAAAGCTTTGTAACTTACCCATGTTTAGTAACTGTATCATGTCCTGCTTCTCTATGGTGACTAGCAGTCAAAGAAACCATGCACAGGCCTAGCTGCTCTCATCAGGGAGTCTTTCCAACGGCTTCTGTGTTCTTCCCAAGGACCTGTTGTTCTCTCCTTTAGTAGCCACCATCACCCACTCCATTCTCTTGGGGTTCTCTGCTTCATAAGAGGAAATATGGGGTCCCCAACAGTCAACCTTCCTGCTATTCCCTAAAAGAAAAACACACACACCCCCCTTTCAATGTGGAGGATTTTTACTGTTAATCACCATGGGAGATGGATGGGGGGAAAACAAAGACCAAAAAATGAGGAAGTTACAAAGCTGACTAAATTTTCTTATTAGTGAGCCCTCCTTTAGTTCCTAACTCACTCTGCGGTAGTAAATGAAAGTCCCTTTGGCTCTTGTCCTCAGGTTTTATTCCTGAAAGTTGTACTTCTTAACCAGTACCCTCCCCGCCTTTCCCCCTAGGTTTTGGGCTCCCTGCAGGCAGGTAACTGTGTCCAAGTTCTGCTTGGTATTCTCAGTACTTAGCACAGAGCCTGGCATATAGGACTAACATATATTGAGCATTACTATGTGCCAAGTACTGTATGAAGCCTTTACATGGATTATTATCTCACTCACCGCTCGGATGATCCTTTGAGGTAGTTACTGTTATGTCCCATTTTAGAGAAAGGAAACTGAGCCACAGAGAGGTGAAGTAACTGCCCAGGACATCCAGCTGGTAAGTGGCAGAGCTGGGATTCAGTCCCAGGCAGTCTGACTTCAGAGCCCATACTCTTAACCACTATGCTGGAAACACCTAAATATTGGTTGAATATATTAAATGAACTCTTTCTCCACTTCCCACCCCATGACAACCTTTCCTTTGTTTCTCTAATATGTCCCTTGATCACTTCAGTCCTCTACATTCCCCACTCCAAACTCTCAACTATTCCTTGCAGTTTACGGTAGCCTTGTAACTGTTCTTCACCAGGCCGGTGGTTTTTGACCTTGTTTCAATCTCTGAGCCAGTGGAGAATTTGATGAAAGCTATGGATATCTCCCCAGATGAACTCCAAATATACAAAAATTTCGCATACAATGGGGGGAGGAGCAAGGAGCACAGATCATCTTAAACCCATCCGTGAACCCTCAGGTTCTCTTCCTATTGTTTGAGGTGGCAGTGGTGGGAGTTTGAAAGTTGAAACTCCTTTGCAAGACTTACCAGGCCAGATTTACCTTTTTTGGCCTCATCTCAGTCACACACTCAAGTTTAAAACTTAGGAAAACAGGGCAAGCACTTGCACATCTCTCGATAGGTGCTTCTGAAGTTCTTGCTACTTGGAATACTCTTCCCCTCCACCCCTCCCTGACGCACTTTTCGTCAAAGTCCAACTCGAATGTTACCTCTCAGATACCTTCCCTGACACCCCAATCCCCTAGCCTGTTTGAGAAACCCCTTCACCTGCGTGCGTCTAACACTGTTCATACCTACCATAGCACTGATCACGTTGTTAGGTACTAAGGAGCCTGTCTCTCTCGATTCACCGTGCGCTCCTCCAGAGCAGGGACGGTATGCAGGTCGGACGGTTATTCATCATTGTATCCCCGATATTCCAGAACATGCGTGATAGAGTAGGTGCTCACAATATTTATTAAATTCATTTTGGGGTAGCTCAGCTCTCATCCTACGACTGGCAAGTTCACTACAGGTTTGGAGAAGGCTAACACGGTTAGGAGAGAACTGAATGATCAAAGTCCTCATCGTGGGTACTCAGCCATGCGGGGAGATCGAAGTCTCGGCTCCGGAGGAAAGGAGCCGCGCACTGCATGCTGGCATCTGCGCGACTGACGGCCGCACTGCACCGCGGGATTTGTAGTCCCGCCCCTTGCCGGGACTCCCGGACTAGTTACATTCGGCTACACTCAACCACGTCTTTACACAGATAAGGTGCAGTCTTGGTAGTCCAGCACAGAATGACGAGGTTCTCTACGGCACGTCTACCTAGCAGCACTCTCCAAAGCAAATCCCATTTCGGCGTTGGCTGCGAGGAAGACGCACTGGGTGCTGCTGCGCGTGCGCGTAACGGACCCTGCCTCCGGAACAGCCGGCGCTGCGCGCGCGCGCTGTCCTCGTGGGGGGCCCGCCTTGAGCCGGGTGGCGCAGGCGCAGTGTCCCCGGGCCAAGATGGCGGCGCGGTGCTCCACACGCTGGTTGCTGGTGGCTGTGGGGGCCCCGCGGCTGCCGGCTGCAGCGAGGAGAGGGGCCCGGCTGCCCGGGGGGGGCGAGGTGGGGGCGTCGCTGGGCCGCAAGCTGAGCGTCACCACCTTCCCGCCTTCCCTAGGAGCTCGAGGCCCCGGAGCGCTGCTGACATTGAGACCCGGTGTCAGCCTCACAGGTGAGGGTAGTCTGCAGAGCTCGAGTGGCGGCTCCAAGGCCTGGAAGGGAGTGACTCGTCTCGCTCTGGCCACGGGGGTAGCGGGTGAAGGGTGTCTTCCGACCTGTATGCGGAATTGCTTGGGAAGACGGGCAAGAAGGAGGCAGATAGGCCCAAGTGGTTGCTCAGAAGCCGTGAACGAGAGAGAGCTGCATGGAGCCCCCGGCGGCAGGGATGAAACGCCCGTAGGCCGTGAACCTTCACCTCTCGGTAAACATTTTGGAGGCCTCGTTCTGGCCTGCCGCTGCTCCCTTGCCGTATTCCTTTCCTGTGCCTCCACCTTTTAGCCTGTAGCGGAGGGAAAGAGGTAACGGCCATTCGGTGAGCACCTGCTCTGGTGCTGGGCACTTTGTTCCTCCTCTCACTGGATGGAAACAACAACACTGCAAGGTAGGGATCGTCATCCCCATTTCAAAGAATGGGAATCTGAGGTTCTAGCGGAGGAATTGACCCGCCCAAGGTCGTAAAGTTAGATAAGAACAGTTGTCGCAAAGCCAGAGCTGTCCTGTCATAGCTTACTCTCTTCCCACCACGTGGTGTAAATCGAAGTGCACATTCAACAGTCTCTTAGAAGTCCTTAAGTTGGTAATTGTAATAAGAATGCAAGCTAACATTTATGGAGCACTTAACTGTGTACCAGGCATGGATCATTTCCATGTGATAGACACTGTTATTATTCCATTTTATAGATAAAGAAACTGAGGCTTAGATGTTCAACAACTGGTAGAATGTTACAAAGCTAATCAAGTGGTAGAGCCTTGATTCAAAACCTGCTGCATTCTTAATTGCTGGGGGTGATGTTGAATTAATGTATATTAAGCCTTTAACTGCTTAGCCATGATGGTTTCTCATGTTGTGTATTGGATGACTTTCTTTACAGTGAAAGAAGGAGGAAACGTTGAACAAGTGTGTGCCTGAATAGTGCTAGTTGTTTTTGTCTCTTAGAATTTGTGCACATGATATTTAAGCCATCTATAAGCTTACAAAGATGATTAATTAAAGGGCCTTGACAAGATAATTTACAAGATAATTTCCTATTGGGGTCCATTTTTGTAATGCTGTCATTAAAGTATTAATAATTGCGATAACTTTGTACAGTGAACAAACTCACCTCCACTAGTGTGTGTGTATGACCTGGGCGAATTCTTTAATCCGTTTGAGCCTCTCTTAACTGTGAAAATTTATTCTCTCATTCACTGGTAATTATTGAGGGCCTGTCATATGCCGGCCACTGTGCTAGGTACTGGGGATACAGCAGAGATCATTGAGATTGGATGCGGTTTTATTCAAGTGAGCCAATTTTTTTATTCTGTTCCCGCCACCTGTATTTCCTCATGGATGGAGCAGGAATCTGTCCAGATTTCCTGAGGATTATTTGGAGTGATGTCATGCTATATTTCTCAATATGATCAAAAGTGGTCGTTTTTAGGTTTTGCTAACATTTTCTAATGTCAAGATTGTTTTAAGTAGAATTTGACTGTATCTTTTTGTTCAACTATTAATTTCTTAGGTAACTGTTAATCTAAATTTGTTCATATTACAGTCGTAGAAGTTTGGGGAGCATTTTTGATGATTGTGTGTGTAAGAGACGGATAGAGACAGGCACTAAGTACTGAGCTTTGTATGGGGCCATCACTAAGGAACTGCAGTCAGCTATCCTTTCCCCAAGTGAGCCCATAGCCCATGATGGGCATGTTTCGAATGAGGTGATGAACACATGTGAGATGTGGCATCCTTCAAGATACACTCTGTTATCACATCTAAAGTCATCAACTCAGGTCCTAAACACTGGTCTGTGATCTCATCTCAAATCTAGTAGTATGATTAGATCACATAAAAACACTTTGATCTGATTTTTCTCCCAAGGACAGAAAGAAGGCGGTTATTTGACACTGGGTTGGCCATTCTTGGAATCACTTGGAGGCTAATCCTGTTCTGGGTTGTTCTAAAAAGGGCAAGACATTTATTGGTCATATCTTGGTGAAAAATTTGTCTATTAAATGAACTCTTTCTAATTATTGCTAATCATCGATGCCTTTTGGATAATGTCAAAAGTCATCAAACTTGTAATAGGTAAGTGTGATTTGTCGTTATCCACATGCAGTTTTGCACATTACTGTCTCCCATTCTGACTCGAGTCCAAGTTCTCTGCTCTTGATATTGAACCTGCAGCTGCCAGTGCCTTTGCCATGACTGACCTCTGCATTCTAGGTTGGAAGGAGTAGGGAGGGAGAGGCAGGATGGGACCAGGGTGACCCCTCACTCCTGAGTGAAGGCGGGGTTGGGTACAGGAGCACTGGGAAACTAGCTCTAGTGTTTTCCTCAAATCTGTCCAAAGAAAGACAGCAGTGGTCTCCTAACCCCTACCACTTCCACACTGTCTGCTTTTCATGTTCCAGGACATCTCGGGTGCAGCAACAGGAAACAAGTATTGGGGATACCAAAAATAGAGATTTACTTCCTGATTCTGATTTTAATCATCCTGTCCAGACCTACTCATTCTCCTGATTATCCCTTATCTTGCTCCCTTCCTGGATCTGCTCAACACCCCCGTGGTTGTCTTTTGTGCTCAGATTAATTTAAGTAGTCTCCCAGTTCTCGTTTGTTGAGAGCTCTTTCTCATGCAAACCCAGTCACCTCCCTGTTTACCACTTGCAGTGGCTCCCTGTTGCCCTCAGGATAAAATCCTGACTCAAGCATAGCTCAGAGGCCCTTCTGCTTATTCCTAGGCCTCATTAATCATCATCATCTCTAACCACCCCTTCATTACTACCACCACCGCCACACACAGAGTCGCTAGTCTAGTTACATCATAGTATCTGCGGTTCCTAAATACATGAGGACTTTTGTGTGAGCCACTCCCTCCAAACCAAAGGTGATCATATGCTGTATCAGCCATTTGGAGCACTTTTGAAAGTGAAAGGAGGTGCTGTCACAAATAGTGGCAGGACTATGGGAATAAACCTCGATGGATTCAGACTCCTTCCTTGCCTAGCTAATTTCTGCAGCTCAACAGCAGTTACCTTAGAAGACGTACCCTAAACTTCTTAGGTTGGGTTGTCAGCGGTTCTCAACTAGGGGTGATTTTACCCTCCAGGGGACATTTGGTAATGTCTGGAGATGTTGTTAGTTGTCAGTTTGTGGGGGGAAGGGAAGTGCTACTGGCAACTAGTTGACCAGGAGTGCTCTGAAGCGTCCTACAGTACGTAGGTATATTAGTTTGCCAGGGCTGTCATAACAAAGTGCCACAGACTGGGTGGCTTAAACAACAGAAATTTATTTTCTTGTTATTATTCCCTAGTTCTGGAAGCTAGAAGTCCAAGATCAGTGTTTTGTCAAGGTTGTCTTTAAAGACTCTATCTCCAATACAGTCACATTAGTCACATTCTGAGGTGCTGAGGGTTAGGACTTCAACATATAAATTTGGGGGGAGGGGCACAATTCAGTCCATAGTAGGACAGTTGTCCATCTGTCCCCCCTCCCAACCAAGGATCATCGTCAACAGTGCGGAGGTTGAAAAGCCCTGATTAGGGGACCCTTTTGTGTATTCTTACTCTGCACGTCCTTCTGTGCTAATATTTCTTCACACACTGCCTCCCACACTCCCCTGCAGGACTGTAAGCTCCCTGAGGGCATTGGCTTTGACTTTTTATTCATCTGGTATCTCAGTGCCTAATATGGTGGTAAGATTTTGAATAAATGTCAGCTCCAGGAGGGCAGTGCCTTTGAATGGTGGCTGTTGTATCTCCAGCCTGGAGCCAGTGCCCTTGTAGATGCTCAGTGAGTATTTGCTGCGTGAATGAATGGTGAATATTTGTAAGTATTTACTGAATGAATGGTGAACACGGAAGCTTCTCTGCAGATGAATGCAAAACCCAGAGCTGCGTCTTTATCCTTGTTCTCTTTCTTGACCCCGCTCTCCCTTCTGCCTTAACTTGGCCCCATATTGCCCCAACCCTGCTCTCCCCATCTTCCAGTTGTCACACTGGGGTTGGGGGTTAGGAGGCAGTAATCAAGGTTGTAGAGCAGCCTCCCCCTTCACTTTGTGACATACCGGTCCAGGTTAGCTCTCTGCTCCGTGCGCAGGGCAGTTGAGGAGATGTGTCTGTTGGCCTCTCCTCCTAGCTGCTGATGCAAGAGACCTGCAAGGAGGGTAGGGCACGTGGCCGCCTGCCTTGTGCTTTGATTCCTTTCAGGTTGTCTGCTCGGGGGTAAACAGAGGTTCTGGCACAGGGCCTTTTAACCTTGCGTGTGTATATATCTGTATTGTTTTTAGGGGACGGGTCAGTGCTTTTATCCAATTCTCTGAGAGATCTGTGACTTTAAAGACTAAGAACTGTTTACAGTCATGCGTCCCTTAACAACAGGGATACATTTGGAGAGTGTATTGTTGTGCAAACATCACAGAGTATACTTACACAAACCTAGTTGGTATAGCCTACTAGACACCTAGGCTAGATGGTACTAATCTTATGGGACCACAATCATATATGCAGTTCGTCTTTGACTGAAATGTCATTACACAGCCCATAACTGTACAGTGGTTCCCAAACTTGAGAGTTTGACAGAATAATCAACTGGAGGGCTTGTTAAACTCAGCCTGCTGTACCCTACTTTTAGAGATTCTGATTCAAGTCTGGGGTGGGGCCTGAAAATTTGCATCTCCAACGAGCTGATGATAATGCTGGTCCAAGGGACCACACTCGGAGAACCACCCTGTAAGCAGATATCCAAGGTTGCATGGTAGAGGGAAAGAACCAGGGGAGTTGATAAGCATTAGGGGAGACAAAGCGTATGGAAATACCTGGCACATGGTGGGTGCTTGGGCATTGTAACAGGGGAGCAAAGTCCTTTTTTAATCATCTCCAGGTGCAGCCCTCATCTGGGGAGCGGTTCCTTTGGTGGTGTAATGAGGCTTCAGCTGTAGTGTAATCCAGCAGAATCAGCCCCGCCTAGTGCTCAGACATTGTTTTGTATTCTTCATATACAGTGGCCTTAGCCAGTTTTGAAGTGCAGAGAGTTTGGTCTCCAGTGGGCCTGGAAGAGAACAGGCCCTGAAGCTGTGACCTGTTTGCTTCTTCATAGGCGTATCCTGGCTGGTTGTTTACTCACAATTTCTTTTTGTTGAGTACATTCCCAGAGTGAGTTTCTTTCCTTTTTTCTTTTTTAGGAGTAAAAAGTTACCCTTTTGTTTGTACTGCCTCCTTCCACACGAGCGCGCCTTTGGCAAAAGAGGATTATTACCAGATATTAGGAGTGCCCCGAGATGCCAGCCAGAAAGAGATCAAGAAAGCCTATTACCAGGTCTGTATGGAAGCCAGATTTTAGAGACAAGATATTGTAGCAGGAATGCTATTGATCTAGTCTGATCCTGATTAATGCAGTGTGTCTGCCCAGACGTATACAACATTATGCAACTGACAGTATATAGAATGATATGATAAAGATGGGCTTTGCTGGACTGTGTTTCTCAGTGCATAATGTTGTACTGGTTAAGGCTTTGGAAAAAAGGGAAGAGTCAGAACCAAACATTTAAAAAAATCTTTTTCCAGAGCTGTTTTTGTACTTAAATTTATTCTGCACCTTCTGAATCAGTAGGTATGCTGGTCTGAGTTTTAAGTAGTCGTTCTTTGCATTCAGATAAAAGTTTATGGACATAGAATTATTTCTTTTCTTAACCCAGAAAGTATGTAATTCCTGTCATCATATCCTGGAATGTATTTGGCTAATTGGTGAAGTGGTATGTGAGTTATCTAGACCAAGGTTCCCAGACTTTTGCTCTGATCAACAAAATAAAAATTAAAATTAAATAAAAACTGGAGGGCCAGCCCGGTGGCGTAGCGGTTAAATTTGTGCATTCCGCTTCAGTGGCCCGGAGTTCACCGGTTTGGATCCTGGGTGTGGAACTACTCACCGCTCATCAAGCCATGCTGAGGCAGCGTTCCAAATAGAAGAGCTACAACTCTATAACTATGACACACAACTATGTACTGGGGCTTTGGGGAGAAAAAAGAAAAGAGGAAGATTGGCAACAGATGTTAGTGCAGGGCCAATCTTCCTCAAAAACAAACAAACAAACAATAAATAAATAAATAAAATAATAAAAACTGAGGGCACCGAAGTAGGATTGCCACCCTTTGTGTTTTGCCTAATATAGATGTTAAAAATAACAAATGCAGTCTATTAATGTTGTTTGATAAAAGAAAGAGCATCGTAACACCATAAAGAGAGGAAAGCCATAATATCAGAATAAAGAAGAAATCTTTGAATAAAATGTAAATTAAATACAAAAGTAAATTACCTGGGGGGCCAGCCCTGTGGCGTACCGGTTAAGTGCTTGTGCTCCGCTGCTGGCAGCCCAGGTTCGGATCCTGGGCGCGCACTGACGCACCGCTTGTCAGGTGATGCTGTGGCAGCATCCCACATAAAGTGGAGGAAGGTGGGCACAGATGCTAGCTCAGGGCCAGTCTTCCTTGGCAAAAAGAGGAGGATTGGCATGGGTGTTAGCTCAGGGCTGATCTTCCTCACACACACACACAAAAAAAGTAAATTACCTTTATGAAAAATTTACTGCAAGATTCTTTTTTTTTTTTTTTTTTGTGAGGAAGATCAGCCCTGAGCTAACATCCGTGCTAATCCTCCTCTTTTTGCTGAGGACGACCGGGGCTGAGCTAAAATCTATTGCCAATCCTCCTCCTTTTTTTCCGCCAAAGCCCCAGTAGATAGTTGTATGTCACAGTTGCACATCCTTCTAGTTGCTGTATGTGGGACGCGGCCTCAGCATGGCCAGAGAAGCGGTGTGTCAGTGCGTGCCCAGGATCCGAACCCGGGCCACCAGTAGCGGAGCGTGCGCACTTAACCGCTAAGCCATGGGGCTGGCCCCTACTGCAAGATTCTTAATTTTTTTTTTTTTTTTTTTTCATTTTTTTGTGGGCATGCGAAACCTTTGTCCAAGCCAAGTATTTGTGAACTGTATACTGATCAAGACCAGACTAATAGCTTAGGGCTTGACAGTGACTCCCTCTTCTTACCTTTTTTTTTTTTTGTGAGGAGTACTAGCCCTGAGGTAACATCTGATGCCAATCCTCCCCTTTTTTCTTGAGGAAGATTGGCCCTGAGCTAACATCTGTGCCCATCTTCCTCCAATTTATGTGGGACACCGCCACAGCGTGGCTTGACAAGCGGTGCGTCGGTGTGCGCTGGGGATCTGAACCTGCGAACCCTTGGCCGCCGAAGCAGAGTGCGCGCACTTAATCGCTTGCACCACTGGGCCGGCCCCCTTCTTACCTTTTTTTAAAGTGTACAATACGGGCTGGCCCCGTGGCTTAGCGGTTAGGTGCGCACGCTCCGCTGCTGGCGGCCCAGGTTCGGATCCCGGGCCTGCACCCACACACAGCTTGTCTGGCCATGCTGAGGCCGCGTCCCACATACAGCAACTAGAAGGATGTGCAACTATGACATACAGCTATCTACTGGGACTTTGGGGGAAAAAAATAAATAAAATTATGAAAAAAAAATAAAGTGTACAATTCACTGGTTTTTAGTGTATTCACAGAGTTGTACAACCATCGCCACAGTCAGTTTTAGAACATTTTCAACATTTCAAAAAGAAACCCCAGGGCCATTAGCATTTATCTCCTATGCTCCTCTCTTCTCTGCCCTTGCAATTGCTAACCTACCTTCTGTCTCTATGGATTTGCCTATTCTAGACATTTCATAGAAATGAAATCATACAGTATATGGCCTTTTGTGTCTGACTTCTTTCTGCTTAGAATAACGTTTTCATGGTTCATCCATGTTAATATTTAATTGCATGGATAGACCACATTTTATTTTTCCGTTCATCAGTTGATGGATATTTGGATTGTTTCCACTTCTTTGCTGTTATGAGTAGTGCTGCTATGAACATCCATGTATAAGTTTTTTTTTTGCTGAGGAGGATTCACCCTGAGCTAACATCCGTTGCCAATTCTCCTCTTTTTTTGCTTGAGGAAGGTTAGCCCTGAGCTAACGTCTGTGCCAGTCTTCCCCTACTTTGTATGTGGGACACGGCCACAGCATGGCTGGTGAGTGGAGTAGGTCCGTGCCCAGGATCTGAACCCACAAACCCGGGCCAGTGAAGCGGAGCACGCAGAACTTTAACCACTCGGCCATGGGGCCAAGCCCATGTATAACTTTTATGTAGACCTGTGATTTCGTTTCTCTTGTACATGTACATATACCTAGGAATGGAATTGCTGGGTTGTGGTAACTCGTATTTGATTGTTTGAGGAACTGCCAGACTGTTTTCCAAAGCAGCTGCACCGTTTTACATCCCCACAGCAGTGTGTGAGGGTTCCAGTTTCTCCACATCCCCACCAGCACTTGTTGTTATCTGTCTTTTTGATTCTCACCACCCCAGCGGGTGTGAAGTGGTATCTCACTGTGGTTTTGATTTGCTTTTCCATAGTGACTAATGATGTTGAGCGTTTTTTCATGTGCTTATTGGCCATTTGCTATATATGTATTCAGATCCTTTGCCCATTTTTTGAGTTATCTTTTTTATTACTGGGTTGTAATGGAATGAGCAAAGGCATAGGGGGATAGGAAGCAAAGATCTTGGCTTGGGATTAGTGAACAGCACGTCTCTTCTTTTGAGCTGGAGGATAAGCTACCTGATGCCAGGGTGAGAGAAGATTGGAAAAATGGAGGCTCGGGCCAAATTAATGGGATGTTTGAAGCCCTTAGCAAGTGCTAGAGACTTAATTAAAGAGAGGGTTGGGAACCATTTAAGTATTTAGGTGTGGAAATAAAAAAATCAGGTAAAGCTGTGCTATTTATTTATTTATTTATTTATTTTTTATTTTTATTTTTTTTTTATTTTTCCCCCAAAGCCCCAGTAGATAGCTGTATGTCATAGTTGCACATCCTTCTAGTTGCTGTATGTGGGACTCGGCCTCAGCATGGCCGGAGAAGCGGTGCGTCAGTGCGCGCCCGGGATCCGAACCCGGGCCTCCAACATCGGAGTGCAAGCCCTTAACCGCTAAGCCACGGGGCCGGCCCAAGCTGTGCAATTTAAAACTAGAATTTTTTTTTTTTTTGGTGAGGAAGATTGGCCCTGAGCTAACATCTGCCAATCCTCCTCTTTTTGCTGAGGAAGACTGGCCCTGGGCTAACATCCATGCCCATCTTCCTCCACTTTATATGGGATGCCGCCACAGCATGGCTTGACAAGTGGTGCGTCGGTGCGTGCCCGGGATCCGAACCGGTGAACCCTGGGCCGCTGGAACAGAGCGGATGCACTTAACTGCTTGTGCCACCGGGCCGGCCACAAAATTAGAAATTTTTAAAGTAGCCTTTATGGAGCAGTTACTGGGATCAGACCTTGATAAAAAGCTTTGTGTGGGGCCAGCCCGGTGGTGTAGTGGTTAAGTTCACGTGTTCAGCTTCAGCGGCCCAGGGTTCGCCGGTTCGGATCCTAGGCTTGGACCTACACACCGCTCATTAGGCCGTGACGTGGCAGGTGTCCTACATAGAGCAACTAGAAGGATGTACAACTATGACATACAACTATCTACTCGGGCTTTGGGGAGAAAAAAGGAAAAAAAGGAAAAAAAGGAGGAAGATTGGCAACAGATGTTAGGTTAGGGCCAATCTTCCCCACCCCCCCAAAAAAAAAGAAAGAAACTATCTCTTTAAAAAAAAATTTCTAGTTAAAAAAATGTTTCGTGTTACGTCATTTAATCCTCCTGGCAAGAGACTCAGCAAGGTTATGACATACAGCGAAGGCCACACAAGCCAGTATGTGGCATACATAAGACTAAAATACAGGTCTTTCTGACTGCAAAAAGGCCTCTGTTTTCCTTGTGCTGATCTCATGAGCATACCAGCATATCTTGTCCTGGCGTTTGGGACCAGCCAATAGATGTATCTTTCCTTGGCGTTGAACAAGGCTTGTGGCCCACTGTGATCTATTGGCCATGCCTTGAGAACCCCCCTTCAGGGCTTAGCACGTAGTCTCTGACATGCTTCCACGTGCTGGTGTGAGGCCCAGTATCTACAGAAGCAGATTAAGCAGCCAGCTGCTGGCAGTGACAAAGCCGGATGGCTTCCCAAGTCACGTTCAGCTTTAGGGTTCTGTGCAGATCCTTGCCCTCACCTAAGGGACCTGTGGTAATCCAGGCTTGGAAGGCATCAGTAGCCACAGCAGACACAGTGAGGACCTACAAAGTGCATAGCACTGCTCAGTGCAGCCGGAAGGTAGCCTTTGTTTTAGAGTGCTCAGCATGCCCATGTGCTCTGGATAGCCAAGTGAGATTTTATTTTGTTTTTTAATATTTAAATCTGTGTTTTGAATAGGTAGGTATATTCCCCTTGTTCACAATTCAGAAAGTACAAAGGAGCATACAGTGGAAAGTCTTGCTCCTTCCCATTCATCCACATCCCTTTTGTAACAATCAGTGTTAGCAGTTTATTGTATGTTCTTCCAAAAATAATTTATACAGCAGACACATCTACTTATCTATCCAGTTATTGTCCTCTCTTTTTACATAGATGATAGTGTACCAGATACACTGCTTTGCATCTTTCACCAAGGTGCCCAAGTTCTAAAGAATTAGTTGTTATTTTTCTTAGAGATTTGTTGTGGTTGAAAAAATGTGTACGTATCTCGGATTGGAAGAGATGGTTTATTTTAAAGTCTTAAACCTTGTTTTAAGAATTGCTGTTGGGAGGCTGGCCTGGTGGCACAGCGGTTAAGTGCATGCTTGGCTTTGGAGCCCGAGTGTTCGCAGGTTCGGATCCTGGCCGTGCACTGACGCACCGCTCATCAAGCCATGCTGTGGCGGCTTCCCTTATAAAGTAGAGGAAGATGGGCACTGATGTTAGCCGAGGGCTGATTTTGCTCGGCAAAAAGAGGAGGATTGGCATTGAATGTTATCTGAGGGCTGGTCTCCCTCACACACAAGAAAAGAATTGCTGTTGGTTATAAAGTCTGAGAGAGACAACTGCTATGAAGGAGACGAGATTGTGACTAGTATATGGGGTTCAGTTTTATTAATTATCTTGTGTCCATACTAATCTACCATTTTCTCCCTTAGCTTGCAAAAAAATACCACCCAGACACGAATAAGGACGATCCCAAAGCCAAGGAGAAGTTCTCCCAGCTTGCAGAAGCCTATGAGGTAATGTGACCCACTGCTGTGTGCAGTCACTGTCATTCAGCTGCATGCGTGCATCAGAGTGCACTGCACAGGGTGACCTGATGTGTCATAGGGTCCAATGTGAAGGCTATGTCCCCATACCAGATCACCTCGTGGAAGAAAAAGAAGATTCTCAGGTCTCATGCTAGATCTAACTTGGAATCTGAATGAAGAACAGGATCCAATAATCTTATAAACAGAGCTCCTCAGGTCATTTGGACTTGTAGCTGGTTTTGGGAACCGCTTGTTGGATTGACTAATTCTGCACCTATTTGAATACTGGCCTCCTACCTAAGGCCGTGCTATTTGGTGGGGATGGTAGGGATTGTAAAAGTAGAAGACTTTTACATGCCCTGGAGGAATGTAAAATGTAATCAGAGAGATGAAGCTTACATGGAACAACTGCTGAACAGCTCCAGAGTTATTGAAAAGTGGACCTTCTTCCTGGACTTTGACCATCCTGAAGGGGTTCAGGATATATAGGATATCATATATCTGCTCTGTGTTTGTGTGCATATCCCCCGCAACCATTTGAGAGTATGTTGCAGACATTGTATCTCTTATTCCCAAGTACTGCGGTGTGTATTTTCTAACAAGAACATTCTTTCCCATAACCACAATACAATTGTCAAAATCAGGAAAGTTAATGTTGAGCAGTACCATTATCTGTACTTGGTGCCTGTGTCCCTGGGCCTCGGGAGAGCCTGATTGCTGTGCTGTTCTCGGTAGGTGCTGAGTGATGAAGTGAAGAGGAAGCAGTATGATGCCTATGGCTCTGCGGGCTTCGATCCTGGGGCTGGCAGCTCTGGGCAGAGCTACTGGAAAGGAGGCCCCACAGTTGACCCAGAGGAGCTCTTCAGGAAGATCTTTGGGGAGTTCTCATCATCTTCTTTTGGAGATTTCCAAAGTGTATTCAATCAGCCTCAGGAGGTAAGCATCTCATTTTGAAGAGTCATTCAAATTTTAGCTGCTAAGTGTGATGCAAACAGATTTTATCAATGTCTGTTTCTCAAAGAAAGAGGCAAAGCAGCTTAAATGAAATGATCTGGAGATAGTCATCTTGGTAAGAAATAATTCTGATATTTGAAAAGTCGTATAGCTAATAATGTATACATCCATTTTGACTGTATTCTTACAATTGCTTAATCAGACAGCACCTAAGGCTCTCAGAGTCCATTATTAGGGTGTGAGTATTTTATCTAGGGCTTCCTACATTATTCTAGGAGAACTTAATCCAGCAGGGAGACACTGCCAATCCTACCTCTTCCCTATTTATATGTTAATAAGACATTATCAGAATTGAAGAGAGAGGAGAAATGTTTTACGATCTAAGTTATGATTGTGGATCATTTGAGCTATTTGTAAGGATCTTGTACAGATATTATCTGTGAACATTTTTGGTTTATTAAAAAGTACATTTTCACTTAAATTAAAACATTATCTCTTTAAAATCCTGAGGAGTAGGGCAGAATCAGTTAAGTGAGACCCATCTGTTCTTACTTGGCAGAGCACAGGTAAGTAAAGCAGTTAAAATAACTGGGGTAGGGGGTAGGGGTGAGTCAGCGGAGCATGGGGGATTTTTAGGGCAGTCAAAGTACTTTGTATGATTTTTTTTTTTTTTAAAGATTTTATTTATTTACTTATTTTCCCCCCAAAGCCCCAGTAGATAGTTGTATGTCATAGCTGCACATCCTTCTAGTTGATGTATGTGGGATGTGGCCTCAGTATGGCCGGAGAAGCGGTACGTTGGTGCGCGCCCGGGATCCGAACCCAGGCCACCAGCAGCGGAGTGCTCGCACTTAACCGCTAAGCCACGGGGCCGGCCCTGTATGATTTTATAATGATGGACACGTGTCAGTACATGTGTTCAGACACAGAGAATGTACAACACCAAGAGTGAGCCCTGATGTAAACTATGGGCTATGGATAATTATGACATGTCCATGTAGGTTCATCTTTGATAAAAACTTACCACTCTGGTGAGTGATGCTGATAATAGGGGAGGCTGTGCATGTGTGGGGGCAGGGGGTATGTGGAAAATCTCTGTACCTCCCTCTCAATTTTGGAAACCTAAAACTGCTTTAAAAAATAAAGTCTTTAAAAGAAAGTAAAGTAACTGAAAACTTCCCTCACTTTAGAAAGATGACAGGCCATCCCTTGATTTCTTTAGTACATTATGGAGTTGACCTTCAATCAGGCTGCCAAGGGCGTCAACAAGGAGTTCACTGTGAACATCACTGATACCTGTGAGCGGTGTGACGGCAAGGGGAACGAGCCTGGCACCAAGGTGCAGCACTGCCACTACTGCAGCGGCTCTGGCATGGTAAGATAAGAGCGAGTCAGAGCCCCCCTTGTCTTCCCGAGGGGACTCCCACCTCTTGCCAACCCACACTTCTCCCCACCATTCCTTTTTTCTATGCTCCTATGGATATTTATTCAGCAGTACCTAGGGCTTTGAGAGTTCATAACTAGGTGGGACTATTTTATCTAGAACCTTCTGCATTTTTCCAGGAGTGCTCTGTCTTTGACAACAATACAGACAGAGCAAGAAAACTGCTGTTATCTCTGAAAATATCCTTTAGGATACTTTGGTGATTTGAAACCGGGGTGGGGCAAGGGGACTTAAATTTTTAAATTTTGCTTGAAGTGTACTTATTTTTTCTTTTTCTTTTTGGTAAATTTTTGATATAATTCGAACTTACAGAATAGTATAAAGAACCACTCCCTTATTCCTTTAACCCAGCTTCACCAGTTGTTAACATTTTGTCCCATTCGCTTTGTCATTTCTGGTGTACTTTTTTTTAAGAACAAGAACATTCTTTTACATAACCACGGTACAGTTGTCAAAATCAGAAAGTTTAACGTTGATAGAATACCATTATCTGTACTTATTCAAATTTTTTCAATTGTCCTTATAATGTTCTTTCTTTCCTGGTCCAGGATCCAAGCTGGGATCTTGTGTGGTATTTGGTTGTCATATCTTTAGTCTCTTTTAATCTTGTACAGTTTCTCAGCTTTTCTTTTTCTTTTATGACCTTGACATTTTTTAGGATTACAGGCAGCTATTTTGTAGAATGTCCTTCATTTTGAGTTCATCTGACAACTTCCTCATGATAAGATTCAGATTATTCATTTTTGGCAGAAACACCACAAAGGAGTAGTACCCTTTTCAGTGGATCATGTCAGGAGTCACAGGGTGTCAGTTTGTCCCATTAGCAATGATGTTACATTTGATCACCATCAGTTAGTTAAGGTAGTGTCCACGAGGTTTCTTCTCTGTAAAGCTGTTATTTTTCCCTTTGAAATTAGTAGGGAAGTTGTGGTGAGGTACCTTGACACTATTAGAAATAATCCTGTTTCTCATCCAACTTTTACCCAGTAGTTAGAGCACCCATTTATCGTTCTTGTCTAAATCAGTTATTACTGTGACAGTTGCAAAATGGTGATTTTCTGATTCCAGCATCCCTTATACATTTGTTGGTTGGCATTCTACTGAAAGAAAGAACTTTCTGTTCTCCATTTATTTATTCATTCATTTATAACAGTATGAAATAGTGGATCCTTGTTTTATTCACTAGGCTATAATTAGTGTATATAATACTATATATATATATTATGTATACTATATATATTATAATTAGTATACATAGTTACTTACTTTGATGATCAGATTGTCCCGGACTTGGCCTGTAGAAGTCCCTTGCGGCTGGCTCCTATATCCTTTTGACACGTCCCTGTCATCCTTTTAGCACTTCCTTACTTTCTATCACAACAAGATGTTCTAGGCTCTACTTGTACTTTCCTTGCCATGCCCTGGAACCAGCCATTTCTCCAAGGAGTTCTGATTCCTTTTAATGTCTAATGGGATTTAGAAACCAAGATCTGTGCTATAGGTGTGCTCATTGTACCTGGAGTGTCACTGCTTCTAAGCCCTCTGAGCAGACTGAGCCAGGAAAAAAAGTGTGTGTTTCTGTGTGTGGGCACATATGTGTGCACACATATAGATATATATACCCATATCTATATCTCTTTCCATATTATTCCTACTATAGATAGGTATATGCACATACGTACACACCTCTCCATCCACCCACCCTCCATCCATCCACCCACCATCCATCCAAAAAACCAATGAGTTCAGCCTGATAGTTCCACTTTCATTCCATCACCACAAGGTTCATCTAGTCTTCTGCCTGTCCACATTTGAAACGTTTTTCTAGTAAAGAGAGATCTGGCTCTGATTATCCTCAATATATTTACTCATTTGCTCAATCCTATAACACACAAAACGTAGTTTCAGAATTGTTACTCATACTGCTGCAAAAAACAGTCCTACTTACTGGCGTTTGATATTTAGTGTGATTTTTATCTTTGGATTGGGGTTATATAGTTAAAATACTGTGCTCAAAAGTTACTTAGGTCACTTCTTTTTCTCCTACTTCATTATGATTATATTATTTGTTTGAAATGCAGTTAGGTTTCCGTTGATCATGTGTGTATTCCAATTAGGTGGTTTCTTTTTTAAGGGAGTTGGGAAGTTCTCCACTACCCACCTTTAAAGTCAAATCATTGTTCGTGGTATCTGTGTGTGGGAGGGAGTAGAAGTTGTCTTTGAGTGCAGAAAAGCTTAAAAAAGGAGACAAAAGTCCCTGATAATCCCACCAATATTATCATTTTAGTGTGTTTCCTGCCAGTTGTTGTTTAGGAATATTGTTTTTGTTTTATAGTTTTTAGTTTTTAGTTTAATAGTTTATTTTTTAGTTTAATAAGTAATATATGGAAACCATTGAAAATTCAGTGGGTACAAATTATAAACAGTGTGAAGTAAGTCTCCCTCCCATTCTTGACTTTTAGTCATTGAGTTCTACTCTCAGGCATCCTTCTGCCCTTCTAGATGCAGGCCTACGTATGCATGCATGCATGTGTGCATTTTTTTATACCAAAGGTAGAAGAATACAGTTAGTGCCTTGATTTTTTTTTTTTCTTTCTACTTTTCAGTATATTTTGGTAATACTCTGCGTGTAGAGCTGCCTCGATCTTTTTATGGCCACAGTATTCCTTCATACAGATATATCATCATTTATTTAGCCAAGTCCATATTATTGGATGCTTAGGTTGTTCTCATCGTTTACCATTGTAGATAATGGATACCTTTGAATAATGTCGTTTCTCATACTCATTTTTTGAATGTGCAGGTATTTATTATGTGTGAAGTTGAACATCTTTTCTAAGATTTGAGAACCATTGTTTTCCTTGGCGTCTATTCAATCTTTTATCCTTCTTTCTATTGGGTAATTGATCTTTTCTTATTCATTTGTAGAAGCTGTTTATAAATTAAGTAAATTAGTCCTTTGTCGATGATTTTAGTTGTGTTTTTTCTAGTTTGTCATTTGTCTTTTGACTTTGAATATGTTTTTGCCTATATGTATATAATTTTCAACCGTTGAGAATCATACATGCAATTTTCCATAACTTTTCATTTATTACATGAAAGCATTTTTCCATATCTTTGAATGTTTTTAAATACTATTTTTTGTGGCTGAATAATAGTCCACTGATGCGTATACCCAAAGTTACTTACCTATACTTCTACTGAGAAAAAGACCAATGTGCATCTTAGTTTGAGAAAGAGAAATTGAGCTTGCATTCCTCTAGAGGGTGCTCTTGGAGAGGGTGAGGATTCTGATGGCTACAATGTTGTGAACCGAGTTGCTGCCACTTGTTATAGATATTTTTTATTGGTTGTTCCCAATTCCCTCTCACTTCTTTTTTCTTTTCTTTTTTTTTTTTTTGTGAGGAAGATCAGCCCTGAGCTAACATCCATGCTAATCCTCCTCTTTTTGCTGAGGAAGACTGGCTCTGAGCTAACATCTATTGCCAATCCTCCTCCATTTTTTTTTTTTTCCCCAAAGCCCCAGTAGATAGTTATATGTCATAGTTGCACATCCTTCTAGTTGCTGCATGTGGGACACGGCCTCAGCATGGCCGGAGAAGCGATGCGTCGGTGCATGCCCGGGATCTGAACCTGGGCTGCCAGCAGCCCAGCGCGCGCATTTAACCGCTAAGCCACGAGGCCGGCCCATTCCCTCTCATTTCTAAGGTCCTTTCTGCAAGGCCCTGAATTGCTGTAACTTTTTTTTTTTTTTAAACATTTCTAAAGTGAACACTGGGTAAGATGGTAAAGCTGAAGTGTATTTCTCTCAAAATGTAATGTTTGAGCCTGGGAAAAAACATTTGCAACACATTTGCTAAGGGATTAGTATTCCTAATATGTAAAGGGTTCCTTCAGAGTAGTGAGAAAAAGACCAAACAGCTCATTAGGAAAACTGGTCAAGATGAACAGAAGAGGAAATACAAGTGACCAGTAAACGTTTCTTACCAGCAGTCAGGGAAAAGCAAATGGAAACAAGAAGATGCCTTTGGCTCACCCTCCAGATTGGCACACATTTCAGAGATTGTACAGTCCATGCGGACAAGCCTGTGGGACATGAGCGTTCCCATACACTGATGATGGAAGTGGAAACCACTCTGACTTGTGAGTGGCAGCTGCAGGAGCTATTAAAACTTTCTGTTTGGGGGCCGGCCCGGTGGCGCAAGCGGTTAAGTGCGCGCGCTCCGCTGCGGCGGCCTGGGGTTCGCCAGTTTGGATCCCAGGTGCGCAGCGATGCACTGCTTGTCAGGCCATGCTGTGGCGGCGTCCCATATAAAGTGGAGGAAGATGGGCACGGATGTTAGCCCAGGGCCAGTCTTCCTCAGCAAAAAAAAAAAAAAAAAAGGATTGGCAGATGTTAGCAGAGGGCTGATCTTCCTCACACACAAAAAAAAACTTTCTGTTTCCATCTCTTTTGGGTTCGTAGCCTACAGGTCACACTTGTAAAACAGCATACGTGTGTACAGGGTGTCCCTTGGAACCTTGTGTAGAGTAGTAAAGGACTGGACAACCTCTGTGACCACCAGGAGTGAGTTGTCTGAAAAATTGTGATGCATCCATGTAACGGAAAACTACACTGATGGGAAATACTTTCCAAGATCATTAAATTGTAAAAAACAAAACAACAGAAGCTGCAGAACCATGTGCATAGTGTACTGCTTTGGCTTGTTGAAAACTCGTAATGCTCATACAGATGGCTGAAAATGTGTGTGTTAGTAGAAAGTAGGATACACAAGAAGGTCACTGTAGCTGTGCCTCTAAGGAAGGTGCCTGGAATAGTTAGGGGACAGGGTATGGGGCGACACTTAACTTTTCACGGTATCTCCTTTTTTACTTTTGAATTTTGTACCATGTGCACATATTACTTTTTCAGATAAATAAAAACGTAAATTTTTTTTTTTTTTTTAAAGATTTTATTTATTCAGTTTTTTCCCCCCAAAGCCCCAGTAGATAGTTGTATGTCATAGGTTCACATCCTTCTAGTTGCTGTACGTGGGACTCGGCCTCACGTTGGACGGAGAAGTGGTGCCTCGGGGTGCTCCCGGGATCCGAACCCCGGGCCGCCAGCATCAGAGCGCGCGCACTTAACCGCTAAGCCACGGAGCCGGCCCAACGTAAATTTTTAAATATAATAATAATTTGTCCCAGCAATTCTACCTTTGGGAATCTTTCTTAGAAAAAACAAAGGCACCAGAAGAGAAGGATATATGTGCATTAAGATAAAAAGAAAAGCAGGTTGCAGAGCAATATGTATAATATACTCTTTATAAAATTTTCACTTTAAAAGAAGACTTTTTTATGGAGAGAGAGAGTGAGTGAATTGTGAAAAGAATAACTCAAACTATAAACTGGTAAGAGTTGGTTACCTTGGGAGTCAAGGTGAGGGGGGAGATTAATAACATCTTTTTTATGTATCTCTGTAGCCTTTGATTTGCCACAAGCGTGTACTTGATAATTTACCAAAAAAATCCAAAGACGTTAGGTTAAGTAAAAAGGTAGCCAGTTTCCAATGCCCAGTGAGGAGCTGATGGGAGTAACCACAAATCATAAGCCTCCCCGCAGCTGTGGGGAGGCTGGGAGCTAGGGCGGCTCTTGCAGGATTCGGGAAGGGGGCAGAATCCAAAAGAAGACGCTGCAGCAAGAGGAGCACAGCAGTGTGTGCCAGAGGAGCCACTGGCCTCGAGGCCCTGGGAAGCTGGGATGGGGATGGGGCAATAGGGGGGGTCCTATTGGTAAACTCCACTCAGCTCTTGTTCCCATGTGGCCCTAAGGGGACAGAGGCCTGTGCTGCTCCTTGGAGTGGGCAGTAGCAGGCTCAGTGACCAGACTGGCAGCTCTGAGTGGGGGATTGAGTCCAGTTGTCACTTTCCTCTTATTTTCCTGTTTTCCCAGCTATCACGTTTGTAATTACAGAGGGAATACTATTTTTTTAAAATGTATTCGCTCAGTTCCCAGGGGTCCCGAGGGTTTTAGGAGCTTCTATAGAGAGGCAGTATCTCACTTTTCAGTCTCTATAATCAGCTTGGTGATTTGGAATTCAGAAGTCGGTGGGTTCTAGAAGATCATATGAACAGTTTGAGCCTCGGCACCTGTGTTCTCAGGCAGTATGTTTTAGTGTGTGTGCACACAATCATGAGTCTTTTTTTTTGTGAGGAAGATCAGCCCTGAGCTAACATCCATGCCAATCCTCCTCTTTTTGCTGAGGAAGACTGGCCCTGGGCTAACACCCGTGCCCATCTTCCTACACTTTATATGGGACACTGCCACAGCATGGCTTGACAAGCGGTGCCTTGGTGCACGCCCGGGATCCAAACCTGCGAACCCCGGGCTGCTGCAGCGGAGTGCGTGCACTTAACCGCTGCGCCACTGGGCCGGCCCCAAAACATGAGTTTTTGATGAAACATTTCTCTTGTGCAGATTGTGGTCCCAGAGCCTCACCTGTCAGAGTTTACCTGTGTCTTCAGGGTCCCATTTTTCTTCTCCTTTTTATCAGGAAACCATAAATACAGGCCCTTTTGTGATGCGCTCCACGTGTCGAAGATGTGGTGGCCGAGGCTCCATCATCACGACTCCCTGTGTGGTATGCAGAGGAGCAGGACAAGCCAAACAGAAGAAGAAAGTGGTGATCCCCGTGCCTGCTGGTGGGTTCTGTGGCTCATCCACACAGGGGCTGGGAGAGCTGAGGTCACTGTTTCCTGTGACTTGGCTGTAGTAAAAGCCGTGGTTAAGGCCCTGGACTGGAGGAGGAACTAGAATTTCCTTGCGTTCTCCTCCTTGTACCAACTAGTTTTATTTTTTTATTTTTTTAATAATTTTATTTATTTATTTTTTCCCCCAAAGCCCCAGCAGACAGTTGTGTGTCATAGCTGCACATCCTTCTAGGTGCTGTATGTGGGACGCGGCCTCAGCATGGCCAGAGAAGCGGTGCGTCAGTGGGCACCCGGGATCTGAACCCGGGCCGCCAGTAGCAGAGTGCACGCACTTAACTGCTAAGCCACGGGGCCGGCCCTGTACCAACTAGTTTTAAAATCTCGGCTACATGTCATGTTGGGGAGAAGAGACCTGACTTGCCCACTGTTCCCCATGCATGATGAAGGAGCTCCTCCATCACCTCCGTCTTCAGTCCCCGAGGCCAGTGTTGTCCCCACTGCCAGCCCAGTCTGCACTCACCCTCTCCCAGGCCGCAGGGCAGCCTGTGACTGCTGTCCCCAACTGGCTCTCCTTCCGGGGTGCTCTTTCCACAAGGCAGTCTGATCATGTCACTTGCCCTGTTGAAGACCCTGCAGTGACTCTCAGGGGGTGAGAAAGGAGGTCTGCCCGCCTGTCCAGCCTCTTACTGGTCGCCCCCTTGTTGCCTGCCTTGACTTTCACATAGCTCCTTGCACGGGCCGTGATGCCTCCCAGAACAGAGCCTTTGTGTATGCCGTTCTTGTGTCTGAAACTCACTTTGTACCTTCTCTTCAGTGGGTTAACTGTTCTCCTGGAGCTCCCGGCCCAGGTGTCACTTCCCCAGGGAAGCCTTCTGGAACCCTCCCTGTTCCTTAGGTGTTCGTCTGGAGTTGTGATCTTTTCCTCCTAAAGAACATGTCTCCATTTGTAAAGACACGCTTATTAGTGTTGTCATTTGGTTAATACCCATCTCCCCTACTAGACTGTACACTCCCTGAGGTACTACATGGACCTGGCACGAGGCAGGCATTCAGTAAACTTGAATAAATAAATAGCGGTTCTCTTGTTCAGTTATCAATTATTTTATGTTGTACCTTTGAAAAGTTACACCTATTGCCATCTTGGATAATTGTCCCTTGTTAAGAAGAAACAGGGCCGGCCCCGTGGCTTGGTGGTTAAGTGAGCGCGCTCCACTGCTGGCGACCCGAGTTCGGATCCCGGGCTCCCACCGGCGCACTGCTTCTCCGGCCATGCTGAGGCCGCGTCCCACATACAGCAACTAGAAGGATGTGCAGCTATGACACACAACTATCTACTGGGGCTTTGGGGGGAAAAAATAAATAAATAAAATCTTTAAAAAAAAAAAAAAAAAAGAAGAAACAGGAGGGGCCGGCCCCGTGGCTTAGCGTTTAAGTGTGCACTCCGCTACTGGCAGCCTGGGTTCTGATCCCAGGTGCGCACTGACACACTGCTTGTCTGGCCATGCTGAGGCAGCGTCCCACATACAGCAACTAGCAGGATGTGCAACTACAACATACAACTATCTACTGGGGCTTTGCGGAGAAAAAGGGAGAAAAAGGAGGAAGATTGGCAATAGATGTTAGCTCAGGGCCGGTTGTCCTCAGCAAAAAGAGGAGGATTGGCATGGATGTTAGCTCAGGGCTGATCTTCCTCACAAAAAAAAAAAGAAGAAGAAGAAGAAGAAGAAACAGGAATGAGCAAGGAAGTTGGTGGGTTCTAAATGGATCTAGGGTAAAAAATACCTTGGGAGGTCCCAAAATAATTATTCTCTTTTAAACTTTTGTTCTTACTTATAGGAGTCGAGGATGGCCAGACTGTGAGGATGCCTGTAGGAAAAAGAGAAATTTTCATCACATTCAGGGTAGGTGCTCTGCTTGCACAGCTTCTGTCAGACCCTTGTTCTCTTGGAGACGGTACAGCTGAGTCTTCTCAGGAGATCGGAGCTTCACTGGGCACATCTGGCCGTCCTTGTTTCTAAGGGGAGCAGTGGCCACTTCAGTGCGATTATTAAACATGTGTTATGTCAAGCATTTGTGCTAGGTGTGGAGAGAACAAAGCTTCCTCAGGATGTTTACAAGTTGGCAACATAGGACCCATAAAAATACAGAAAACATTTTGTGTTTTTATTTATGTATCAAATTGTTGGTAGGGACAGTCAGGCCAAAGGTGCAGTTTTACCTACTATATACAAGGGCAGACTTGGTTTTCTGAAATAAGGGAAACATTAAAGGGATAAATGCCTTCTATTGGCAATTCCGCTAGATATATACACCCCACAGGTGTAGCAGGCGGAGGCACGAGGTGTATGTGACAGCCTCGTTCATAGTGGTAAGACACTGATGACAACTTGCTGTCTTTTGAAAAGAGAATGGCTGAGTGACCCACGCTGTGGTCATGGAGTACACAGAGCAGTCAGAAGGAAGAAACTAGAACCAAATGTGTTAGTATGAGACATTGCGAGACTTCTCAGTTACAGACAAGGGAAAGGAGGCAGATTGTAAGAGGATACAGGATGATGAGATCATCTATATAAAGTTTTAAACCATGCGAGATGGTGTTATATATTATTTAGGGACATGTAAATATGCAGTAAAAGTAAAAAGATGCTCTTAGGAATGATAAATACTGAACTCAGTGTAGTAGTTACTCTGGAGGGGTGAGGAGGAGGCAAGGAAACTTCAGCTGCATTCGTAATGTTTTATTAATTACCTAAGCTGGGTTGTGGATACACCGTGTGTTATTTACTTAGCAGTTTATGTATGTTTGAAATATTTCATAATTTAAAACAAAGACAAAAGGTAATGTTAAGGGTGACTCTTCTAGACTGAGAAATCAAAGACAAAGGCAGCAAGCTGGAAGCCAATCTATGAGAAAAGTTTGGTAGAAAATTCAGATTCTGTTCCCATCTAATAATAGAGAAGGAAAAAGAGAGAGAGAAGAAATCACTGGAAGGCAAAAAATGTCTTTGAGACACAAAAAATGGTGCTTATAAAATCAGAATAATTCTCATGCTGCCAGTCTGTCATGAAGGTTGTTTGTGCCAAATCACCGTTCGGATTTTTGCCTTTATAGATGTATTAGTCTGTGTTTTTCTATATTTTCTGGTAAAATAGGCTTTTTTTAATGTTCAAAAAGTCAGTTTTACTTTTTTTTATTTCCTTTCACAATCGAACAGCTTGGTCTGAGACTGACACTCTTGTATTGCAGTATAGAGATGAATCTGACGTGTAACCCGGGAGCCTGGGTTGGTGTTCCACCTTGGTGAAAGTACATTCTCCTCCTCAGTGCTATACTCTGAGCGTAGAAGCAGCAACCTGAGCTCGGGCTGCTGGACGCGGGGCTGATGTCCAGTCTCAAGGACTTCTCTGTGTGTAATCCCCATCTCTCGTGCTTGGCCCTAGGTGCAGAAAAGCCCTGTGTTCCGGAGGGACGGCGCAGACATCCACTCCGACCTCTTTATTTCTATAGCTCAGGCTCTTCTTGGAGGGACAGCCAGAGCCCAGGGCCTGTATGAGACCATCAATGTGACGGTAGGAGGGCGTGAGAATGGCTTTGCCACACTTGTACTTCATTGCTCTTTTTTTTCTGAAATGGGAAAGGGCTGAGAAGTGGCTAGAACCTGTGAACAACCAGCATTTTGGGGATTCAGAGGAGACGAGATTTGAGGGAGGGCAGGAGGAATGTTAGGCATTTCCTTGGGTGTGAAGCACAAACTGTAGGCCTTAAATGGGTAATAACCATTGAAGACGATTCCTGGGTCGCATCCCCTTTTCTACTGGTTAGAAGGTCCTGGGAACTGTGCTACACCATGAAGCAGACATGCATTTCCCTGCTGTGAGCTCTCTGCACCTGTTGCCACTCCAGTGCCTGATTAGGGGAGCAGACACCTTTGGTGCCCATGTCACATCCCCTCAGGCCACCCCTGATTTCAGTAGCAGCACAGAGAACAGCTTCCTGTGAGCTCAGTGTACCTCTCACCCCCACCTCCCACCTCTGGCTCTTCCTGCCTCTGGGTCTTCCCGCCTCTGGGTCACGCTGTCTCATTCGCCTGGGCCTTCTCCAGCCTCTCAGGAGCCCTTTGCGGGCAGACGTGAGTGCATTGGATTAACCTCTGCCAATAGAGGCAGGAGCCGTGGGTAGGTGTCTGGTGGACACTTCTGGGAGCTGTTCTCTGCTTCTCGAGGGCCCGTGGAATGCAGACCCTGTGGAGGGCCAGAATGCAGCCTCAGCAACGTGCCCGTGTGTTGGCTTTGTCTCCTCCCAGGTCTCGCTCTCCATGCCTCCTCCCTCCTGCTTTCTGTGCTCACTTCCCCAAACTACCTGCCCCCAAGTCCTCGTCACAGGCTCTGCTCAGGGTGGATCCCAGCTTAGCCAGTTTTCTTTTTTTTTTTTTTTGTTTTGTTTTGTGAGGAAGATCAGCCCTGAGCTAACATCCATGCCAATCCTCCTCTTTTTGCTGAGGAAGGCTGGCCCTGGGCTAACATCCATGCCCATCTTCCTCCACGCCCATCTTCCTCCACGCCCATCTTTCTCCACTTTATGTGGGATACTGCCACAGCATGGCCTGACAAGTGGTACGTCGGTGCGCGCCCGGGATCCAAACCTGGGCCGCCAGCAGGGCCGCCAGCAGTGGAGCTTGAGCACTTAACCGCTACGCCACGGGGCTGGCCCCGTAGCTTAGCCAGTTTTCATGTGGTTGTGGGTGGGTTTGGTCTAGAAACCCGAATGGGAGTTCTTTTCAAGGAGTAAAGTTGTCTTCTTGTAGTGAAATGTTTTCATTTGGGCAACTGGAGACCAAGGAAAACCACAGATTTCCTTTCTTTGTAGATCCCCCCTGGGATTCAGACAGACCAGAAGATTCGGATGAGTGGGAAAGGCATCCCCCGGATTAACAGTTATGGCTACGGAGATCACTACATTCACATCAAGATAAGAGTTCCAAAGTAAGTGCCCACATAGGCCATGGCAAGGCCAGATCTCTGCACACTTTCATCCACCAAGCAGGAGCCAGATGAGATTGTTTTATCTGCCAGGCCCGGGGCTGGCCTGGTGGCGCAAGCGGTTAAGTGCGCGCACTCCGCTGTGGCGGCCCGGGGTTCGCTGGTTCAGATCCTGGGTGCGCACTGACGCACCACTTGTCAAGCCATGCTGTGGCGGCGTCCCATGTAAAGTGGAGGAAGATGGGCACGGATGTTAGCTCGGGCCAGTCTTCCTCAGCAAAAAGAGGAAGATTGGCAGATGTTAGCTCAGGGCTGATCTTCCTCACAAAAAATAAATAAATAAATAATAAATACCTGCCAGGCCCTGTGTAGAGCATTGCAGTGTGGTGGTTCAGTGCTACCGAACCACCTGGCCCGTTGTCGCTCTGCCACTGTAAGCACTGAGGCCTAGGCAGGTTACTTCTTCCTTTAAGTCAAGTGTATCCTGCCCGAGTTCTCCATCTGTAAAGTGGACATAATAAAAAGGTCAATCTCCTTGAGTTGGAGGATTAAATGAATAATACATAGGGAATACTTAGCTGTTTGTTGCTGCTGTTATTGATTATTATTATTTTTGGTCTCAGGGTGCTCACAGTCTGGTGGGAAAGACAGATCTATAACCAGATCATGGCACGGGATGTCTGTGTCCTCTGAGACAAAGGTCCAAACAGAGAGCTGTGGGCATCCAGAATAGGGCATGCCTGATTCCCCTTGGGAGAACTGGGTTTCCGGCACTCCTTTCAGATAATTTCCTACACACACTTTTAAAAGCTTTTTTTGCAGTGACGTATTTAACATAGCCACAGTGGCAGTTGTTTAAAACAACTTAGGGTATTGTAAGAGATTTTCTTCACAGAAGCTCTGAGGGCGTGGCTCTTAGGCTCAGGGTGTGCACCCCTGCCTGGGTCAGGGGTCCCCCATTTCCCACCCATTGCATGGGGATTGGCTGAGTCCGCGTCCTTTAAAGAGCTGCCCAGTGGAAACACTTGGCCACTGACTGTGCTCGGTCCACAGGAGACTGACAAGCCGGCAGCAGAGCCTGATCCTGAGTTATGCCGAGGATGAGACTGATGTGGAGGGGACGGTGAATGGCGTCACCCAGACAAGCACTGGTAAGGAGGCACAATGGCTTGTGGGCATCCTCTCTGACCCTCAGAGGATGGACAGTTTAGAAGCATGTTGGGGTTTCCACTTGGGGATCTCCGTGGAGCCTCCAAAGAACACAGTAGAAAGAGAGGAGCTGTGGGCTAGGAACAGCTAAGTGCCAGCCGAGCTCCAGAGTAAAGCTTCTCTTCCTTCCTCTGTGTGTGCGCCCTGGTTGCTGAGGTTAGAGACTTCTAGAATGCTTTCTTCCAGACGGCAGCCGTGTGTCTCAGAGAGCTGCTCTCCTGAGTTCTATCCTTGGTTCTGCTACTTGCCTTGTGACCTTGGGCACATCCCTACATGAGAGCTCCTTGTAACAGCTTACGGGGAAGTTGGATTGGAAAGCTTTATGCGTTCCTGACCCAAAACGCTTCACCAAGATTTGAGAGTGTCTTGTGAATACCAGCTACTGCAGCAATTAAAAACGATCACGTGACTCCAAATCTGCCTGTTCTCAGCAGGTCTAACTTTGAATTCCTCTGGCAATGAACAAATGCCATATTTACCCTGAGCTCAGATGTCATGCTCTGTCTGTAGAGTGTAGTTAAATATTAGTGATTAGATACCAAAATGCCCTTAGGCAGAAGCTTTGGTGACAGACACTGCAGCCATAGTCCCTCTTCCCGTGGAAGGTGGGGGTGCTCTGCCGAGGAGACGCTGGTTCTCTGTTGCTTAGGGCTCCTGCTCGGGTCAGGACAAGCTGTGCTGAGGGTGTCATTGGCTTCAGCTGCCCACCATGTTTCCTCCTTGTTGCATCATTTAGTTCTTGTCGGGGTCCTGGATGCTCCTCTCGTTCTCAGAACTCAAACGATATTAGATTAGTATATGGTCCTTCAGAGTAGGTGGTTGGAGCTGGAGGTGGATTTCCCAGTGAAGTGGAGGGCTTGGTCTTAGAGCCCCCGGGGTGGGGTGGGGTGGGGGTCCCGGCAGCAGCAGTCTTTGCTGAGCTTCTGTTGAGTACAGGCGACCAAGTCCTCCATCGTGTCTGTAGCCTGACCAAGCATGGAATAGGCACTTATTTTAATTATTTGGTACATAGACTTTTCTCTTATTTTCTTGTTATAGCCCTTGAACTAAAAAGAAGTGGGAGTGATTATTCCACGTAACTGTGCACCTCTGGCTTCTCCTTCCTGAATCCCAAATATTCCCACATCACAGAGCATGTGGGATTTGTTCTGCAGACAGCTCTCAGCTGTCCGTTGTCTGTGTCCCCCCAACCTCAGGGAACTTGAGGTCTGCCTGGATGAGGACTTGGGCCTCGCTCACTATATTGGAGTGTTGGTGTATTTTAAAGCCCTTTCTGATAGCTTAAATTGAGAGTTGATCGTACCGTCAGCTTATGAGTATCCTTAGAACCCTCATTATCTTCGTGGTTCCTTGTACTTACCCTCTTCCTGCTTTCAGCCAGGATTTATTGGGAGCTTCCTGTGTGCCAGACACTTTGCCAGTTTTTCCTTTTAAATTTTTATTGATGTAATTTTGCTGAGTATAGCTTAACTTTTTTTTTTTTTTTAAAGATTTTATTTATTTATTTTTTTTCCCCCCAAAGCCCCAGTAGATAGTTGTATGTCATAGCTGCACATCCTTCTAGTTGCTGTATGTGGGACGTGGCCTCAGCATGGCCAGAGAAGCCGTGTGTCGGTGCACGCCCAGGATCCGAACCCGGGCCGCCAGCAGCGGAGCACGCGCACTTAACCGTTAAGCCACAGGGCCGGCCCAGCTTAACTTTAATATATGCACTTCTGAAAACTTGTTTATAAAGTGAAATGGCTATGCCAAATTATGTATTTTTTCCACTCAACTTCTGTTGTCATTTCAGAGTTGTATTCCAATGGGAAATTTGGCTTCCAGACATAGTTTTTTGAATGGCATTTAAGAATCTTAGAATTGGCTTCAAAGAATGCACTGTCAGTCTGTGGCCTGCGTGTGGTTAAGCCTCTCGTTATACTGTGAAGAAAGTTACTTCAGCAGTCCTTATATGAAAATATGACAGTACATACAATTCTCTTTTCCTGACAACTTCACTAACAGTGGGTCTATTTATTTAAGTAGAGCCTGAATCTCTTTTATTTCAAACATTTAACAAAACTTATTAACTGAAGTTATCCTAGAAGCAGTTGTGTTCAGTTATCAGTGGTTCTTAGGATCAAATGTGCTCAGCTCACTTTAATAGCCTCTAAGTACACATGAGTAGAGTCATTTGAGACTGATGGGAGTCATTGCAGGTACACACTGCTTCCTGGGTCTTTGAAGACTTGCTTTAATTATGGGAAAGGGTACCTGGAAGGCATTTGGAATAGATACAGTTCTGCAAGAAAGTGACCTAAAGTTTTTGGTGCGTTTAGTATGCCTTGTTTATTTTTGTTCCCTTATACAGTTGCTGAAAACCTTAATGGCTGGCCTGGCTCCTTTCCCAGTCTGTGAACCAGAAAGACCGTGGCGTGCTTAGGGGCTCTTAGTGCTCTTGGGGCTAAGCAAAAAGACACAGGGCATTGGGGCACTCTGAGGTTACTGCGTGACATTTTTTTTTTTTTAAGATTTTATTTATTTATTTTTTCCCCCCAAAGCCCCAGTAGATAGTTGTATGTCATAGTTGCACATCCTTCTAGTTGCTGTATGTGGGACGCGGCAGAGAAGCGGTGTGTCGGTGCGCACCCGGGACCCGAACCCGGGCTGCCAGCAGCGGAGCGCGCGCGCTTAACCGCTAAGCCACGGGGCCGGCCCACTGCGTGACTTTTTGAGTTAGAGACACAGTGTGGCTCATTGTGTTTCTGGATCATCTTTAATTCTTGTGATAACACACGTGTGTACATTTAGCTATAAGTGTAGAGACTTGTTCCCGAGCTCGTTATTTGGAGATTCCACCTGCTGTTTCTCTTCTCTGACGTGGCTGACAGTGTTGATCACAGATCCCTTTTGTGCAGGGCAGAGGCAGAGGAAGATGAGGGAAAAGACATTTTAGTGGAACGAGAGGCGCTCTGCTGGCTCAGCTTGTGCACATAGACAGCTCAGGGAGTCGGGCTGTGAGTGTGGACATGTACCTCCACCGTGGGGTGGGTCCAGTCCTCAGAAGTCAGATCCTGGAGTCCTGTTGGCCTCTGTTCCTTCAAACAAATGTTCATTTAGCATTTGCTGTTGCTAAGAAGTCAGGCACAGAGACAGGGTCGCTGCCCTCTTCCAGCGTACAGCGTAACAGGAAGCCAGGGCAAGCACTGACCCCCCAAATAAGTGCTAGACCTTTCTTATCACACTAGGCATTTGTAACCGTGGAGAAAACGTTTTGGCCCAAAAAGCTGATATAATTCACAGAATGAGCGTTTCCTGGTTATTCTTTACCTGGCATCACCTTATCAGCAGCCGTCAAAACAGTTCTGACCTGGGATCCTGCCTGTAGTGAACTAGGATGTTTTCTCTTTGAATCCCCAGCACCTTGCGCTGCACTTGGCCCTAGGCTGGTTCACGGTAAATGTTGGCAGAGTTTATTTGAATTCATTTTCCTAACCATCAGCTGGGAAATGCTCTGAGGGAGAGAGAGAAATGTAACCCCTTCTCAGGAAAGCTGTGTGTGATCTGATAAAGGAGTCCTGCGGCCTCAGGTTCGAGATCTTGGTCTCTGGTTGGCTGAGCAACCTCTCCAGCTGTGGTCACCTTCTGAAAGCACAGACTAGAGATGCTCGTGTTGTGCCTGTTCAGCTGGAGTGGACTTCCACCGCGGGGCATTCCCTATTTATTCTGAAGTGCAAAAATCATGTGCCAGCTGTATTATTATTTTTTTTTTAATATTTATTTATTTATTTATTTATTTTTCCCCGAAAGCCCCAGTAGATAGCTGTATGTCATAGCTGCACATCCTTCTAGTTGCTGTATGTGGGACGCGGCCTCAGCATGGCCGGAGAAGCAGTGCGTCGGTGCGCATCCGGGATCCGAACCTGGGTCACCAGCAGCGGAGCGCGTGCACTTAACTGCTAAGCTATGGGGCCGGCCCTGCCAGCTGTATTTAAAGGAGTTTTGGAAGTAAAGTGCTCATGTTTGTGTCCTGGAAGGAGACCAGAAGGCTCCTGAGGGCCCAGGACATCCTGTAAGGACAGATCCTAGAAAAAGGATCTGTGTATAGACTTCATCATGAATGTGCAGAGGCTAACAGTTTATTCCTGACATTTGGTTCAGAATTTTTTTTTTGCTGAGGAAGATTCGCCCTGAGCTAACATCTGTTGCCAACCTTCCTTTTTTTGCTTGAGGAAGATTAGCCCTGAGCTAACTAACATCTGTGCCAGTCTCTCTCTATTTTGTATGTGGGTTGCCACCACAGCATAGCTGACGAGTGGTGTAGGTCTGTGCCTGGGGGGGAGCCTGTGAACCCGGACCCTTGAAGCGGAGCAAGCCGAACTTAACCACTAATGCCACGGGGCCGGCCCCCAGAATTTTAAGTTCAGTGCTGATATTATTTGATGTCCCTGCCAGTAAACCTTATTCCTGAAGGAGTCCATCCTCCTTTTAGCCAAATTTAAAACAGAGAGAGGTAAGGGCTGGCCCCGTGGCTTAGCGGTTGAGTGCACAAGCTCTGCTACTGGCGGCCCGGGTTCGGATCCCGGGCGTGCACCGACACACTGCTTCTCCGGCCGTGCTGAGGCCGCGTCCCACGTACAGCAACTAGAAGGATGTGCAACTATGACATACAACTATCTACTGGGGCTTTGGGGGAAAAAAATAAATAGATAAAAATTAAAAAAAATAAAACAGAGAGAGGTAAGACTGTGTTCCTGGTGGTGGGGGGTGAGAAGAATTTCTGGGTGTGTGTCGGTGTTTTATTGTTTTATTTATTTATTTGTTGTGAATTGTTAACCAGCTAACCACGTGCTTGTTCTGGCTCTCCCAGACTTTGGCCGCTGTGGCTCAAATACTGGCCATGGGGCATAACCACTTCCTGCCCTCACGTGACAAGGACAGCAGAGTTGGGGGAGGAGGGCGAGGCAGTCGCTGAATGTTTTCATGCCCCATTGTGACTAGTAGTTAAGAGCTTAGGTTCTGGGCCAGCCCCGTGGCTTAGCGGTTAAGTGCGTGCGCTCCACTGCTGGCGGCCCGGGTTCATATCCCAGGCACGCACCGACACACCGCTTCTCCAGCCATGCTGAGGCCGTGTCCCACATACAGCAACTAGAAGGATGTGCAGCTATGACATACAACTATCTACTGGGGCTTTGGGGGGAAAAATAAATACAATAAAAATTAAAAAAAAAAAAAAAAAGCTTAGGTTCTGATGTCAGATGATTCAAGTCTTAGCTCTGCCATTATTAGCTGTACAGCCTTAGGCAAATTGCTTCACCTTTCTGAGCCTCAGTTTCCTCATCTGTAAACTGGGATAATAGTAGCACCCAATTCATAGGGTTCTTATATGATTAAATGAGATCATCTAGGTAAAGCATTTGGCTCCATACCTGGCACATGATAAAAGCTCCATCAGTGGTAACTCACGGTGTCTCACACACACACACGAAGATTTGCTGTCCCCTTAACAAGGACATAGGAGGGCCAGCCCTGTGGCTTGGCAGTTAGGCACGCGCGCTCCGCTGCTGGCGGCCCGGGTTCGGATCCCGGGCGCGCACCGACGCGCCGCTTCTCCGGCCATGCTGGGGCCGCGTCCCACATACAGCAACTGGAAGGATGTGCAGCTATGACATACAACTATCTACTGGGGCTTTGGGGGAAAATAAATAAATAAATAAAATCTTTTAAAAAAAACAAAAAAAAAAAACAAGGACATAGGAAATTCAATACTCTTGCTCTCCCTTGTCCGAGGAGGCCCAGGAGGGATGGGAAATTTCTGGTTTGTGGATTCCTTTGTGTTAGGAGCAGTCCTTTTTTGTTACTTAAGCCTTGATGTAAGAAAAGGCCATGTGGGCTGGCCCCGTGGCTTAGTGGTTAAGTGTTCGCGCTCCGCTGCTGGCAGCCTGGGTTCGGATCCCGAGTGTGCACCCACGCACTGCTTCTCCAGCCATGCTGAGGCCGCGACCCACATACAGCAACTAGAAGAATGTGCAACTATGACATACAACTATCTACTGGGGCTTTGGGGGAAAATAAATAAATAAAAATTAAAAAAAAAAAAAAAAAGAAAAGGCCATGTGAAGGACTAAGGGAGGGCACATCTGGCCTCATAACCTGTGGCAGTGGGTGCCTCTCACAGGGGCCTGCCATGATGCCTGTGCAGTGCCTAGGTCCTCATCTGGGAAGGCCCGGGAATCTGGGGTTACCAAGCCAGCCACCTTGGCTTTGGTGATTGCTTACACCTCTATTAGCACGTCCTTGTTTGGGGCCACTTCTATCTCTCTGAGGACATTCTTGAGCTCTCAGAGTGTGCCAGGTCCAGAGGACTCCCCAGGGGGCTGTACCCAGGACCACCCCACCCAATCCCAGCTGGGGCCTGTTACCCAGAGTTTTGGGCCTCTCACTGATGAAGACGTCTTAGACTAAGGTCTTGGGGAGGGTGACCGTTTTTCACTCTGCTCTGCACTGTACTTGGCATACGTCTCCTAGCATGTTACAAATGTGCCCTACGGGGGCCGGCCCCGTGGCATAGCGGTTAAGTTCACGCACTCTGCTTTGGTGGCCCCAGGGTTCGCGGGTTTGGATCCCGGGCATGGACCTACGCACCGGTTATCAAGCTTCCTCTACTTTATATGTTGTGGTGGCGTCCCATATGAAGTAGAGGAAGATGGGCATGGATGTTAGCCCAGGGCCAATCTTCCTCAGCAAAAAAGAGGAGGATTGGCAACAGATGTTAGCTCAGGGCTAGTCTTCCTCAAAAAAAAAAAAAAAAATGGTGCCCTACAATTTAAAATGTTGAGTACATGGGCCGGCCCCATGGCTTAGCGGTTAAGTGCGTGCGCTCTGCTACTGGCGGCCCGGGTTCAGATCCTGGGTGCGCACCAACGCACCGCTTCTCCAGCCATGCTGAGGCTGTGTCCCACATACAGCAACTAGAAGGATGTGCAACTATGACATACAACTATCTACTGGGGCTTTGGGGTGGGGAGGGGAGGGAGAGGATTGGCAATAGATGTTAGCTCAGAGCCGGTTGTCCTCAACAAAAAGAGGAGGATTAGCACGGATGTTAGCTCAAGGCTGATCTTCCTCACAAAAAATAAAAAATAAATAAATAAATAAAATGTTGAGTACAGGTCCATAGTCTAACTCATAACAAAAGTTTGCCCCCCTTGCCTAGTGGTTGGCAGATCTTTAACATGATGCATTTGTGGGCCGGCCCCGTGGCTTAGCGGTTAAGTGTGCACGCTCCACTACTGGCGGCCCGGGTTCGGCTCCCGGGCGCGCACCGATGCACCGCTTCTCCGGCCATGCTGAGGCTGCGTCCCACATACAGCAACTAGAAGGATGTGCAGCTATGACATACAACTATCTACTGGGGCTTTGGGGGAAAGGAAAAAGGAGGAGGATTGGCAATAGATGTTAGCTCAGAGACGGTCTTCCTCAGCAAAAAGAGGAGGATTAGCATGGATGTTAGCTCAGGGCTGATCTTCCTCAACACAAAAAAATAAATAAATAAAATTAAAAAACTATCTAAAAAAAATAAAATAAAATGATGCATTTGTGCAGTGGAGTTGCTCTCAGTAGTCTCAACCTGGGCCCTAAAGAAATAGCAGAGCAGCTTCCTTTTATCCAGAGCATTTAAAGTTAGATGCCCCTCGATGGGGAGAGTTTGCCCAGTGACATAAGGGTCCTCCGCTGCCCTCACTATAGATAAGAAGAAGCGCACGTGTCATGGGATTCCGAGAGGCAGTGGGTCCCCGCTGGGTGTCCTGGAGATGGTATGTGCACACGTACGGAGTGTGGAAGCTAGTTGGTTGGTCTTGGCGCGTGTTCTACACCTTCCTACAGCCAATGGCATGGTGGTTAAGAGCCTAGACTTTGGGCTCTAACTGCTTGGGTTTGAACTTAGTTCTCCCTCCCATTTACTGGTTCTTTGACCTTAGGCAAACCACCTAACCTCTCTGTGCGTCCGTTTTTTGTTTTCTTCATCTGTGAAATTTACCTGTAAGATCATCCTACGAATCGAATGAGCTAGTGTTGAAGCTCTATGGCCTGGCCTGGAAGGCATCTGGCACTTACTATATTTCTGTTACAATTGTTAAGATAGAGATAGCTGGTCATTGTCCCTCTCTATTTCTTGTTTTCCTCTTGCGGTCTAGTGACTTGAGGAGCAGTGGGGATACACTAAAGCGCTGACTGGCCTGTTTGCTTTAGTCATCTGATAGGCGAGGCAGCCCTGGCCAACATGGGAGCAGCCCCCTCTCCTTTCAGGGTGGTACTTGGTGGCTCCCTGAGTGGCGACCCCTGGGTGGCCAGGCATGGGTAGACGGGGCCTGGGATGGGACTTGTGGAGGTGTGCACCCTTGACCCCAGTTCTTTCTGCTGTTTGTGCCCAGGTGGCAGCACCATGGATAGCTCCGCAGGAGGCAAGGCTAGGCCCGAGGCTGGGGAGGACAAGGAGGGATTCCTTTCCAAACTTAAGAAAATGTTTACCTCCTGATATCCCAGCCGAGGTAGGAAAACCCTGGAGGTTTCTTCCCCCTTTGTTTCCCTCTGTGAACTAATCCCAATTTTCCCTACTTTAACTGATATCGTGCTGCCTGACCCCCGAGAGTTGGCAGAGGTGCCAGTCTCAGGTGTGTATCTGGCTCTCCTCAGAGCCAAGCTTCTCGGCCTGTGGAGACAGCTGCATTAGGGAAATGCAGCAGAGTCAACCGGTACAGGGCTGAACCAGGCTGCAGCGGCAGGCCTTCTGCAGTGTCCATATCCTGGAGAGGGTGCGCTGGGGGGCTGCCTCACAGCCCTCCTTCCACTAGCTCCCAGAGGGTTCTGCGTCCAGCAGTGGCGAGAACCAGGTTGCCCACAGTCGCAGAGGGCGAGTCATAGCAGAGCCAGGCCTAGAACTCAGATCTCCCCAACCTCCCGCCTATTTCATAGTGCCTGTCCTGCCTGGGAGGCGCAGGGCTGTGTAAACCTTGGGGGGGTTGCCAGGAGTCATGCTTACTCACTGTGGTGTCTTGGGACCCACTTTTTACTTGTGCTGGTGTCTGGTGGCTGGGGCTCCTGGCGCAGCTCCTTGTCAGTGATGACAAAAACTCACACAGGGGTGTGTGCCTCCTGCGATGGCAGTGAAATGTCACTGTTTGTGTCTTGGCTCAGGAAAACGGTCAACTGGAAACTAGGCCTGGAGCAGCTGGCCCTCCTCGCGGCCCAGGCATCCTGGAGACAGGAGGATTCCAGCACAGCAGCACCAAGCCCCTGCTTGCAGAGGTCCTCTGGACTACTTTGGCAACAGCAAAATCATGTGACAACACACCTCTCCACATAACAGTCCCGGTGGACAGCCCCTCGGCAGTAAGGCGTGGCATGCCTAAGGGCTGGTAGAAGTTTCCTGTCCACGGGTGGGTAACTCGGCCTCTTCTGGCTCAGGCAGGGTAAGACAGCTGGACACTTCTTGCAGAGCCAAAACTCTAATTTGGAATCGAATGTGGTGGAGATCTTAGTTAAAAAATTAAAGGCCATGCTTACAGCTTAAAAATGAAGCCTTAAGCTGCATCGAGTCATGAAGTGATTAATTTTCCTCTCATCAAACCTTTGGGAGGTTCTGGAATGAATTTTTCCTGACAGGTTGTCTTTTCCAGGAACGTGGGGCCTATATGTCCCACCAGCGTCATCTACCCCTCAGCAGGGGCATCACTTGCTCTTCTTCGAATCTGTTTTAATTCCCAAAGGTACCAAGGAGCTGGAACGTGGGGGCTTTGGGGCCTGGGGAGACACCTATGAAGAGCCTCCTGGAGATGCTGCTCCTGACCACATGGGCCGTGATCTTTGTCAGGACGGACAGTCCCTCCTGTGGCCTCTCGTCCCTGACTGTGGAGTTCTCTTGTTCTAAACCAGGTGCGAGTAGGGCTCCTGCCCTTCTGGGGACCTCAGCCGTCTGTGGCCATGGCCTGGGGCAGACTAATGCGCTCATTAACCCGGAGCCCTGCCCTCGCTGCCAGTCAGGGTCTTGGTTCTCCCCACTCACACTGTTGACATCTGTTTTCAGAAGTGTGTTTAAATTATTCAGTGCTAAGAATCATTGTCTTTTCCCATATAAATATTTGTTCAGCAAAGGAAAGCACAGTCTAAGCAGTTGAAGGCTCTCCACTGTCCAGCCAGAGCAGAACATACTGTTTTCCCAGCCTCAGCCTGTAGGATGTACAGGTTCCGTGTGTTTCCAGATCCTCCCACTGTGGTAAGACAGGTTAATGGAGAACACTTCGGAATAGTTTCCTTTTTGTTTTCCTTCATAATTTACTAAAATAAAGCATCTAGTAGTGTCTGATTTAAGAATGTAAAATGATTCTGTATCAATGTAAATAAGATTATCTACTGCAAAAAGATATTTAAAACCTAAAGTGTGGTCATTTCTTCTTTGAAAGAATTCAAACAGCTTTCTCCAGGTGGCTTAGCAGGGGATTACTGGTGCTCATCTACAAATAGGGCCGCCCCATGTTGCTGCTGGCTTTCCTGGGGCCAGCTGCAGAGGTGGCTAGCCTTGTCCACGGAGTCATGCCCACCCAAGAGCACACGCACACTGACGGATGGGTGACGCTTTGACAAGTGCAGACCCTCTCCAGCCAAGTTCCCAGACCAGGGAGCTCACCATGAAACGATGTGCTGATTTGAACGAATGTTGTAGAATTTGGTGTGTTGCTTTTTCTTTGGGAGCCTGCAACATGAGTGATGTGCTGTGCAGCCTTGTTACTATCTCCCTCACTATGTTTTTTATTTTCCTCCATTATTTTCAGAGGAATATTAAGGTTTTTTTTCATGTTAAAATTGTTGTTCATTGTAGTTGAACTAGTCTGGCTCTCAGCAGAGACTGTCTCACAAAAGCCCCGAAGCCGTCACAGCTGGAGTGGCCTGAGCACATAGCTCAGCCCCACCTCAGGGTCCTGAGTGGAGCAGGTTGAGGTTTGAGAGCACTTAAATGGTTGGGTGAAGAAGTTGGGAAAGACCTAATGGGCAAGAAAGGGGCTCAGCAGTGACTTCCTGCCAATTTCCATACTTTTCCTTCATTCAGGAGTGTCTATATAATAAATGATGTTTCCTGAGGGCCTGCTGTGCATTCTCATTGTGGGCCTGGCTCGACTCTGGATCTTGGGTTCAGCAGTGGCGAGCGAGATGGCTACTCTCCTGGCAGCTTAGGTTTCCTTCCTGGAGAAGTCAACCCAAGTCCCATTCCTGTCCTGTCTTTTGGAAGCAGAAGTCTGGGGAAGACTTGGAAAGAGAAAGTGGATTTTCTTGCTGGCTAGGCACCATTATTGCTATACTGAGGCATCCTTCCCTGGGTGGACGGAGGGTGGCAGTACAACAGCTGTAGAATCAAGTCCCACTCAAGGCTGGGGTTTGGCTTATTCCCACAGGTGGCTCCTGAGGCATTTGTCACCAGACTTCTTTGCAGCCTCTGAGTTGGGAGCGTGAGATGAGGTATTTAAAGATACAATAGGGGGTCGGGCCCCTTGGCGTAGCGGTTAAGTGCGCACGCTCCACTGCTGGCGGCCTGGGTTCGGATCCCGGGTGCACACTGACACACCGCTTGTCAGGCCATGCTGTGGCGGCGTCCCACATAAAGTGGAGCAAGATTGGCATGGATGTTAGCTCAGGGCTGATCTTCCTCACAAAAATAAAAAATAAAAAATATAAAGATACAATAGGGGCCAGCCCTGTGGCTTAGCGGTTAAGTGCGCGGGCTCCACTACTGGCAGCCCAGGTTCAGATCCCGAGTGCGCACCGAGGCACCGCTTGTCCAGCCATGCTGTGGCGGCGTCCCATATACAGCGACTAGCAGGATGTGCAACTACAACATACAGCTATCTACTGGGACTTTGGGGAGAAAAAGGGGAAAAAGAGGAGGGTTGGCAATAGATGTTAGCTCAGGGCCAGTCTTCCTCAGCAAAAAGAGGAGGATTGGCAAGGATGTTAGCTCAGGGCTGATCTTCCTCACAAAAAAAAAAAAAGATACAATAAAGTGTCTCTCAGTCCCTGAACCTTTGGGGATTGAGAGGAGGGGAAGATAGATGGGTGTTCAGCATTTGCTGAAATATCAGGGAGGGTGGGCTAGGGAAGGTGCAGTCATGGGTGGATGAAGCCTACTTGGCACCGGACCTCGGCTGCCTTCCCGCCTGCAGGCCTCTGCTCTGATTTGTTTCCTGAACGTTCCTTCTCCTCAGGTATTTGGGTTCTGGTGGACTGGTCTTTGCTTCCTTCCCTGTCATGAAAATCCCCCTCAACGTACAAGAATCCTCTCCAGTCCCTCAAGCCTCCTGGCTGCCCCTCGTCCCGGGACTGCCCTTACCCTTTTCTCTGTTCTGCAACCATCACTGAACGGAGCCATCACTGAATACTGAACTATATGAGCAGTCATGGCTTTCACAGAAGGCATGTTTTAGCACTCTTGTATGTTAATAAACACTGTGAAACCTGCACTTGATATCTTTTAACCAGAAGTTCTGCTTGTCTGGTTTGATCCTCGTGAAAGGGGATCACAAATGGGCCAGTAAGAAACTTTACATTAAAAAGCAAAGTGGGTCCAAAGTCAGGTGCCACGGGCACTGACCTGCAGCCTCAGGGCCCAGGAGACAGCAGGGAGTGGTAGAGACTGGCTGCCCTGTCTAAAGGGGACAGCCACTCTTCAGCTCCAGCCAAGAGGGCTATGCAGGAATTGAGAGCCAGTGCTGCCAGATCATCTGGTGCTTTCCAAGAGAAGCTGGGCATTCAGATTTTTATGTGGCGATTTCAGTTACCTCATTTTTGGGGTAACAGCTTTATTGAGATATAATTCACATACCATACAATTCACCCATTTAAAGTGTACAATTCAATGGTTTTTAGCTTAAGGTTGTATAACCATCACCACAATCAATTTTGGAAAATTTTTATCATCCCACAAAAACCGCATGTCTGTTAGCAGTTACTCCCCATTTTCCCCAACTCGCTCAGTCTCTGGCTATGATGAATCTACTTCTTGTCTATAGATTTGCCTATTCTGCACATTTCTTATAAATGGAATCACAATATGTGACCTTTTGTGGTTCTTTCTGGCTTCTTTCATTTAGCATAATGTTTTAAGGTTCATCCATGTTGTACATGCTGCTATGAATGTTGTCTCATTTTAACATGCTGGCAGCTACTTATATGGGGTACTTAGAGTAGTCCAGCTCATCGAGACAGAAAGTAGAATAGTAGTTGCCATGGGCTGGAGGAGGGGGAACAAGGAGTTAGTGTCTCATGAGTACAGAGTTTCAGCTTGGGAAGATGTAAAAGTTCTGGAGGTGGATGGTGGTGACGGCTGCACACCAATGTGAATGTACCTAATGCCACTGAGCTGTACACTTAAAAATGGCTAAAACAGGGCAGGCCCTGTGGCGCAAGCGGTTAAGTGCACGCACTCCACGTCGCTGGCCCGGGGTTCCTGGGTTCGGATCCCGGGCGCGCACCGATGCACCGTTTGCAAGCCATGCAGTGGTGGTGTCCCATATAAAGTAGAGGAAGGTGGGCACAGATGTTAGCTCAGGGCCAATCTTCCTCGGCAAAAAGGATCAGCGTCAGATGTCAGCTCACAGCTGATCTTCCTCACACACACACACACACACACACAAAAAGCTAAAATGGTAAATTTTATGTTATGTATAATTTACCACAGTTTAAAAAAAATAAATTTTGGCAGCTCACATATTTCAGGGACCAAATTTCAGAAGACCAGGCACACATGATGCCCCACCTGATTGGGAGTTGTGCTGGGAACACCTCAGCCAGTGGGATGATGTGCTGGGAGTTGTCCCAGCAGTCGTGGTACTGGACCGGATTCCCCAGCATTCCAAGCTGTGTCACCCACATGTGCTTTCTTCCTGTAGTGACATACTGGAACAGGAGCACCTGGGCCAGGCAAGATACCTTGATTTCAGCAGGGTGGGTGAAGGGCCTTTCTTTCCAGTCACATTTGGTTGTCACCAAGAGGAAAGGAAAGGGAAGTAGGTGGACAGGAATGTTTATTACAAGTCAATTGGTTTAAAATACTAGTATTATTAAAATACTAGTATTATTCTTGTTTAATAGACTTTATTTTTTAAAGCAAAATTTACAGCAAAATTGAGAGGAAACTACAGGGATTTCCCATATACCCCCTGCCCCCACACATGCATAACCAGTGAACCTACACAGACACGTCATTATCACCCAAAGTCCATAGATTAATGAGGGTTCGCTCTTGGTGCTGTACATGTTATGGGTTTGCACAAATGTCTACTGACATGTATCCACCATTATAGTATCATACAGAATAGTTTCACTTCCCAGGATTGGGTTTTTGTGTGCAGTGTGGATAGTTCATAGCACATGGGGCATCCTGAATTGATGTGCACAGTTCTATCTGCTTTGTTGGATTTGGGACATGGGCTGCTTTGACCACATCCAGGCTGGGGGTCGGTAGGTGCCACCCTTTAAGAGGGACAGAAATCAGCTGGGGACTGGAGGCTAGCAGAGCTTTGACCACGTGTATCAGACGGAAAGGAGAAGGTGACCTGGGGGTGTCAGGCACTGCTTTGTACAAATGACCTCATGGTGTCCTCACAACAGCCTGGCCAGGCAGCACCAGATGGGCAAGCAGACCAGAGAGGCTTAGGGATGTGCCCAGGTCCTGCCGCTTGTGGGTGAGTAGCAGCTGGAGCCCAGTGTCAGCTCGCTGAAGTTCGCTCTGGGCTCATCCCAGGCTCCGTACTGACCTCAGGCCACTCCAGGATCACCGCAGTGAGTCACAGCCCCAGGTAGGTGAGTTTCCAGCTCCGGCGCATGGGGGACTTGGGCTTCACGTAGGGCTACACGCAGATGACCTGTTGTGTTCCCTGGCTGACCCGAGTGGGCTCAGAAGCCCACGCTGTCGTGGTCTTTCTCCTCCTACCCTGCCTAGGATGCTCACTGCCCTCCCCTCAGACCTCAGAGGCTGTCCCTGTCCCTGCTAAAGTGGGCCCCTCTTCTTTTTTTTTTTTTTAACTTTTTAAATTTATTTATTTTTCCCCCAAAGCCCCAGTAGATAGTTGTATGTCATAGCTGCATATCCTTCTAGTTGCTGTATGTGGGACGCGGCCTCAGCATGGCCGGAGAAGTGGTGCGTCGGTGTGTGCCCGGGATCCGAACCTGGGCCGCCAGTAGCCGAGCGTGCGCACTTAACCGCTAAGCCACGGGGCCAGCCCCAAAAGGGGAAGGATTGGCAATAGATGTTAGCTCAGAGCCGGTCTTCCTCAGCAAAAAGAGGAGGATTAGCATGGATGTTAGCTCAGGGCTGATTGTCCTCACATTAAATAAATAAATAAATAAATAAATAAATAAATAACTAACTAACTAACTAACTGTTTAT